AGATTCATTTCTGCAAGTCAATCTTCAGCCTAACAATGCCATGTGTGTATTTTAGGATGTGACCAACACTCTCTGTATACCATGAGTAACTTCACCAGCAGGTCACTAAGAATCACCCAATTGAAAGTAAAATCCATAAACCATCAACAAAATACTTTTTCTGACAATACTGAACCCTCATATTAGAAAAACAACTTGAAACTCATAAAAGATCATCGAAAGTGATGATTTCATGCCTTAAATTGGATGAAAAGGATTAAACCCAATTTTCATAAGTGAAAGAATGACTGAGAAAGGATAGTAGAACCTCAAACACTTACATCCAAGATATGTAGTTACATTGTTCTGACATTCAATTTCATTGAATCATAAAATCAAACATGTGATAGCAGGAACCCATTAGCCAACAACATTCAGAAACAAAGAGATAGCTGCCAAGAAGCACACGGCCAAGGAGATCGCCGCCAAGATAGATGCTACTACGATGACGAACTATGACGGCAGGAAGGTCGAAAAAAAAATCCCCAATTCAAGAACCAAGAAGTTCCCACTTCTAATTTGGCCCAAAGGATTAAGATTCAAGCTTACAGATGAAGAAAAATTTGCCACAATTCCAAAGACCAAGATATCATATCACTGATGATCTCTGATCACAACCCAAAACGAAAATTTACCCCAAAATTACAGAACGAATTGAACGATTGCGGAAACACCAAAGAAAGAAATCTTTAACAGAAAAATTAGAAAATAAGTAAAACTAGAAATAGATGAAACGAATGAGAAGTGGAACCACCAAAATCCATAGCATAAGCCAGGTGGCTCTGATACCATGTTAACTACATTGCAAAACTATGAAGATCAATGGATGACAGAGTCGAAGAAGAAGGGAATGAGAGAGTGAGAGAAAGAGAGAGATTGTACTAATGCTTCAAAAAATATTACAATGTTTTACTTACTGAAATGAAAGCCCTATCACCTCTTATATATCCATAAGTGTTAATTACAACAGTACCCTTCTACCTATAATAACTAACTCATCTTCTAGATAATGCCATATTGCATTTATGTTATATTGGTTATTAAGTATGAGTCCTATGTGTCGTCTTATATGCCTAAAGTGCTTTGCTTATTCTTTCGTGCCAATCTCTCTTTGTTCAGCTGATCACATTTTTTAGGAGGTTGCACATTGTTTTGTTGTATGCTTCTGCAAGACTATTGGCCAGATGATAATACATAGAAGACTTGTGCTGCTTGAATTTGTATTTCTCGGAGAGCTTGTCCATGAGTTGATTAGAGAACTGTTTTTCATTAACCATGATGATATAGCGAGGCACACCATATTGATGGATGATATGCTCTTTGATGAAATAGACGACAGTTTCCTTCTTGACTTCCCTTAGGGGTACAACTTCAGCTTACTTGGAAAAGTAATCCGTTGCGGCTAGGATGTAGGCTTCTTTTATAGATGACCTTAGTGTGATTGGTCTTACAACGTCTAATCCCTATGCATCAAACGGCCATGAAGCAACTGTAGGGTGTAATGACTCAGGTGGTTGATGTATGAAGTTGACATGGAATTGGCAGGCTCGGCACTTTTTAGCATACTACAGGCAATCTTTCACCATGCTTGACCAATAGTAACCCATTCTTTTGAGCTGGAAATGTAGCTTTGGTCCAGACTGATGTGCCCTGGATACGTCTATGTGTGTTTCTTCCTTACTTAAGCATCTCAAAAGCACTCATTCAAAAAAGAATCAGTAGAGTGTTCCATTGTAGTAGAGGAAGCGAGGTGCTTGTCGACGTAGTTCAGAGCTATGTCTAGGATCATCTGGAAGCTTTCCATACTCCAAGTAATCGATCAGCGGTTATCTCTATTATTTTGTGTCGACTAGAAGTACTAAGATGATGTTTGTGTCATCTAGTAGCATTTTAGTAACGAGAGGGATCACCCATCTTTGGGCAAATTGGCACATCCGCACCTTCGTCTTCTTCTAGTGCCATACTTAAGGCTAGGTTAGCGAGAGAGTCCGCCATTTGATTTTATTTTCTTGGCACACGTTCTAACGGCTTGGCCTCAAACTTTTGTAGTAGTTGAGTTGCTAGCCAAAATTTTGGGATGAGATCATCTTTCCTTACTTCATATTCATTGAAGAGTTGATTTGTTATGAGTTTGGAGTCACCATACACTTCTAGTGTTGTGATTTCCATGTCAATCGCCATTTGGAGTCCAATGATTAACGCTTGGTACTCAACGACGTTGTTGGAGTATAGTTTGCTTAGTCAAAAGGAATAGGGTAGTAATTGTCTTTGTGGCAACACGAATACTACTCATGCCCCCACTCCGTCTGCTTATGCAGATCCGTCGAAGAACATCGTTCATAACGGGAAGATGTCGATGTACAACACCTCCTCGTCAGGTAAGTCATCTGAGATTTTCCAATTGGTTGGGATTGGATGATTGACAAGGAAGTCTGCTAACACTTGTCCCTTGATGGCTTTAATTGGGACGTGGATGATCTCATACTGATTGAGAAGCAATGCCCATTCAGCTAGTTGCCCTGTCAAAATTGGTTTGGATATTTGACCGGGTTAGCTTTAGCAACTAAGTGGATGATGTAAGCATGCATGTAGTGTCTTAGCTTTTGGAAAACAAAGACTAAGGCAAGGCACATCTTCTCAATCGGTGAGTAATTGAGTTTAGTACCAGTGAGAGTTTTACTTAGGTTGTATAGTGCTATTTCCTTTTGGTTATCATTTTCTTGCACCAATAGTGTTCCAATGGAACCTTCTTGTGTGGTAATGTATATGATGAGCGGCTTTCTAGGCATGGGAGATCCCAAGATAAGTGGGCTTGCCAGGTACCGTTTTATGTTTTCAAAGGCATTGTGACATCTGTCATCCCATATGAGCGAAGTGTCATTCTTCATGAGTCGACTGAAGGGTTGACAATGTCCAGTGAGGTTAGAGATGAAGCGCCTAATGAAGGCTAGTCTTCCTTGTAGACTTTTCAACTTGTGTATATTCCTTGGCTTGGGCATGCTTTGAATGGCCTTAATCTTCAATTGGTCCACTTCAATGCCACGGTGCTTGATAATGAAGCCGAGGAACTTCCTAGAGGTGACACCAAATGCAAACTTCAACGGGTTCATCTTGAGGTTGTAGTGTCGTAGTTTGTCGAACACCATTTGTAAATCCTTCAAGTGATCAGAACTCTTTTTGGTCTTGACAACTACGTCGTCTGCATAACATTCTATGTTTTCGTGTAGCATGTTGTTGAAGATCTTCTGCATTGAACATTGATATGTAACTCCAACATTCTTCAAGCCAAATAACATTACCTTATAGTAGTAAACACCTTTTGGAGTGCGGAAGGTTGTTAGTTCCTCATCTTCGGGAGCCATATGGATTTGATTGTATCCAGAGGAGCCGTCCATGAATGATAATGCCTTGTGGCTAGTGGTTGCGTCCACCATGATTTCGATGATTGGCAACGGAAACTCATCCTTCGGGCAAGCATCATTGAGGTCGTGAAAATCTACACAAACACGTATTTGTCCAGATTTCTTAAGGACAATGATGATGTTAGAGATCCATTTAGGGTATTGCACCTTTCGAATGAAGCCTGGTTTGATTTGCTTGTCAATCTCGGCCTCAATTTGTGGGATGAGCTTGGATCGATAGCATCTTTGAGTTTGCTTTATTGGACGCATTCCAAGCTTGACTGCAAGACGATGCACGACAATGGTAGAGTTAAGGCCAAGTATTTCTTTGTAGGTCCAAGCAAATATGTCTTTGTACTCTATTAGCAGTTGATAGTACTCATCACCGCACTTAGTAGTGCACTTACGAAGATAGGCTTTGGTTCCTCGCTTGTGTCCAAGTTGAGCTCCTTAAGATCATCAACCTTGGCTTGCTCCCATCCTCGAGTTGTGGTGGTGCAGTAACGACGTCTTCCTCGGGGATTTCGTCTTCTTTGTCTTCTTGGATTGTGATGTGGAAGACATCTAAGACCTTTTCTTCAATGTTGTCCTCTTTATTGGCATGATGCTTGGCCAGTGTTGATGATAGTGCGCTGATGAGCCATTTCATATTATATATTTTACCCTAATCTTAGTATATTTTAGTTAATAATTTGGAAGAATTTTGATACTTTGAATTGCATTTCCAATATAGGACTTTCGACTTCTTCTGGAGCAAAACATGGGCAAATAGACGAATTTTGGAGTAATTCCAGTTGGAGGATGTTCGCGAGTCACTTAGCTTGATCGTATCAAAATATCATATTACAACAATATGTGCATGGTCAGCACCCGTTCAGCAGTGCAGAAATTGTTTCATTTTGATCCAGAACCTGAGCAGATTGTACGGAGGAGACGCAGGGAGAAAAATTTACAGTGGGTTCCTTCTTTGCAGGAGACTTTTCTGCAGTCTTTATTTCCTGAGGATATACACCGTAAGGAAACAATGGCATTTGTTATTCTAGAGGCTGGGCAACCTTTAGGGAATTCATTAACAGCTCATGCCACTAACATACCAAGTTGCATTACTTATCCGGAAGTGGAGGAAGGGTCTACATTCGAAATAAAGCAGCACATGTTGAATATTCTACCCACATTTCATGGGTTCTCAACCAACGATCCTAACATGCACATTGCAGAATTTTTAATGGATGCAAGAATATTTTGGTGAGAGGATTTTCATCCGAATCTATTAAGCTCCGTTTATTTCCATACACTCTAAAAGATCAAGCAAGGAGATGGCTCCTCACACTTCCATCTGGAAGCATTAGCACTTGGAACCAACTCAATGAAAAATTCTTAAGCAAGTATTATCCAGCTTCAAAAACTCTTGACATGAGAACTCAAATTTTATCTTTTGCCCAAAAACCAAATGAAGAGTTTCATGAGGCGTGGGAATAGTTCAAAGAGTTGATTAGAAAATGTCCACATTCTGGTATTAACTGTACATATCAAATGCACATATTTTTCAGAGGACTAAATATGACTACAAAAACTCTTGTCAATGCTTCATGCGAACGTTCATACAAGGATAAAAAGGCACAAAAGGCTTGTTTATTATTTGAGAAAATAACAGCAGATACACAGCAATTGGTAGTTAAGCAACCACAATCTAGGTCTGTTTTTGAGATGTCTAATGGTTCACCATATGTGTTGGCACAAATTGAAAAAATGGAGAAAAAGCTTGCAAGATTTGATGCAAAATTTGACATGTTATTACAAAGAATTCCAGGTTCACAAGTTGCTGTACAACAGCCTTTACAAGCTGCCTGCAGTATTTGCAGCATAACAACCCATGATTTTTTTAGTTGTCCACATAAAGATGCTTATCCGGAGTTTACAGCAGAGCAAGTTAATGTATTTAATAATTTTCAACGTCCCCGAAATGACCCATATTGAAATTTCTACAACCCGGGTTAGAGAGATCATCCTAATTTGAAGTGGGATAGAGATGAACATGCAAAGCCACAATTTCAACAGCAGGTACAGCAACTTGCTGCACCAAAGGCTACTTGGGAAATTGCAATTGAAAAATTAACAATAACTACAAATGCAAGATTTGAACAGACCAATCAAGAAATCCAAAATATGCATGCAACAATGAAAAATATGGAACAACAAATTGGGCAGATTACGTTGCAGATTTCAGAAAGAGCACCGGGTACATTTCCTAGTCAAACAGTACCTAATCCAAGAGGACGAGAAGAATGCAACGCTATACGGACTTTACGGTCTGGCAAAAGTTACGACAACATACATGAAAACTGCACTAGAAATTTGCAGGCAGCACCACAACCACAAACAGTTTCGGGAAATTTTGCAAAATTTGATATTTTTGCAGATTCTGGGTAGCAACAAGACAGATCCAAAAATACTGCAGAAGCTACTGCAAAAAATGCAGAACGTGTTTATGTGCCTCCAATGCCTTATCTAAAAAGGTTGAAGCCTAAAGCTAAAGATCAACAATTGATAGATTTTATGAAGACTTTGGCTAAAGTTCAAATTAATCTTCCATTAATTGATGCAATCGAGAACATTCCATCTTACGCCAAGTTTTTGAAAGACGTTTGTACAAAGAAAGAGAAGCTTGTGGATTTTGAAAAAGTGATTCTAACAGAACAGTGCAGTGCGATCTTATTGCATAAATTGCCTCCAAAGAAGAAAGATCCAGGGAGTTTTACTATCTCTTGCACCATTGGAAATTGTGATTTTAGTAGTGCTTTAATTGACTTAGGTGCTAGTGTAAACTTAATGCCTTATTCTGTTTTTAAACGTTTAGGTGAAGGAGAGCTGAAGCCAACCTCCAGCATTATTCAATTGGCTGACCGTTCAATTACCTATCCTAGAGGAGTCATTGAAGATGTTATTGTTAAGGTTGACAATCTATATTTACCAGTTGATTTTATGGTGTTGGACATGGATGAGGATTTGACAACACCCATCATTTTGGGCCGCCCATTCCTAGGAACAGCCCGGACTCTTATTGATGTTGAAGCCGGAACTCTAACATTCCGGGGTGAAAATCAAACAGTTGTTTTTAGGTTGTTTGAAGCTATCACACATCCAGGTGACAAGCAAGAATGCATGCGTGTTGATGCATTAGATGGTTTGCCTCGTACCAAATTTGTGACCAGATCATCAACTGACAATCTGCCCATAAAGACTCAAAATGTGATTCATGAGTGTGATGGTAAAGCACAGCATCACAAAATTCAGTTGCTTGAAGTGCAAAAATCAAAAATAGATCTAAGCAACTAGATGGACCAAAAACACCAAAATGTCAAGGGCAAGAATAAAAAGTTGCAAGGTAATCCAAGTTACGAAAAAATATAGCCTGGTAAAAAAGTATGGTTGTTAAGTTCAGATTTCAACTCAATTCCAGGGAGACAAAAGTCTTGGTGGAAGGGCCCTTATATGGTTAAGCAGGTTTTTCACAACGGTTACGTGGACATTCAAAAAGAGGGCAGGGGTTGTGTGCTCAAGGTCAAGAAGTCTTTACTAAAACCATTCCTAAGGAAGTTTAGTGCACGCGAGTCATTGACTCTAAAGGAACCAATGATTTGACCACCAAGCTTCAGCGACGTCTAACTATGGACGTTAACTAAAGCGCTTGTTGGAAGGCAACCCAATTTTCTATCCCTACTCTTTTTAGTTTCTTTTAAATTCAGTCACCTATTTTATGGTTGTTAATTTTGTTACTATTTGTTTCACTTACTATGGAATTGGGAAAAAAAAAAAATAGAAACAGAAAACATCCAAAAAAAAATAAAAAATAAAATAAAAATAAAAATGCAAACTACACAAATATTGTGTTTTTAATTTATCTTTTTCTAGCAGTATCTATGTGAATCTGATACACAAGTCTACGAATATGCAGGTTGCTTTCAAAACATTCCAGGCACAAACAAGAGATTGAAATGAAAGTACTAGATGCACCTAGCAGCAAGTCTACTTTATTATCATCCACATCAGTTACTTAAATTATAAATCAATGAAGGAAATGTGGAGCAAGTTCGAGATTGTACCTATGCAAATGCGGATCTAGGATTTTCTCTTGGCTTCCTAGTAGCTCCAGTTGATTTTGTGCCTTGCTGGGTTATCCGAATCTGCAACTACAAACTTTGAAATGAGATATAAACTCAGCATATCACTATTACAGCGTTCAAGTTTGGGGGTAGTCAAGATTGTATAGATTGCATCCTCAGGTCCATATTCAAGGTGCATATATTTTTCTATATCGGTTAAAAAGATGAGTTGTATACCTTCAGATTCGTGGATCATTGTGATCTGTGAGTTTTGAGTTCATGGATCTATGATGTCAGACTGTTCTTCCCACTTATCTTTTCTGTATCTGCGAGCCTGGGTTGTAATTTGTACAGTTCTTTTCATTTTCCTTGTGGATCGAGGGTACCTTTTCACAGAAAACACACATGCATGAATATTTGAGTAGGTTTTCAAGATTTGTTGGTCACACACAAGCTATAGTAGGTGATTAAGGGATTTTTACCTTTGCATGTACGGATGGAACTCCAATCTTTGATTTCTGAGCATAACTTTGCTCAGGGAATGACGGTGATGACGATCTGAGCTTAAATCCATGATGGTTTGAGGCATGGGAAACGAAAGATTTGGTTGAGAAAAACGGTTGAGGGTGAAGAGGTGTCACATCCTAGCCCAGGACGGATTACTTTCTGGGCCCGTTCCACCACCGTAGCATGATATTGTCCGCTTTGGGCTTACCATTCCCTCACGATTTTGTTTTTGGGTACTCACGATCAACTTCCCAGTGGGTCACCGATCATGGGATTGCTCTAGCCCCCTTTTCGCTTAACTTCGGAGTTCCTACGAAATCCGAAACCAGTGAACTCCTAAAATGCCTCGTGCTAGGTAGGAATGATAATATACATATAAGGATCACTCCCCTAAGCGATGTGGGATGTCACAAGAAGGGTGTGGAAATGAGAGAAAAATGTGAGGGAAGGAGATCAATTTTTCATTTTAGAGATAAATGGTTTCTGAGAGCAATGGAACATCATGGAGCTTTTCAGTTGGAATCCTAAGGAACTCACCACCAGGATGCACGACACGTGTACAAATCTGGAGCCTTTCATGTCTGTTCGAGAAGGCTGTGTTAAAAGAGGGGAAAAAAAGAGCTGTTTGGCTCTGGGTTTGATGAAACGAAGAGAACCGTTGGCTCTGAGCTCGAGACAAGTTCACAAAGGGGATCCAATGTGGGATTAAAAGCTAGGGGTTTTCGGCCCCCGTGTATGGCGTGCGTGTGAGCCCCAAGATGGCCTGCTGGGCTACATGAAAACATGCCAATTTTTTAAGTTTTTCCTTATTTGCGGCCCACTGCATATGCAAGGATCCAAGCCTTCTACTCCACGTGTTCATGAGTTGGACACCCCAGGTATCTCTTTCCTTGTTATTTTATTTTGTTAATTCATTCTCTTTTAGTTATTTTTCTCTTTATTTTTATTTTCATTTTTTACATGGTTTAGTTTATCTTAGTTCCAGTTTTTAGTTTATTCTTTCTTTTCCACACCTTGAGGATAAAGTGTGAAATAAGTTTAGGGGTAGGAAATAACATTTTAGGTTTTTAATTTTTGTGTCAAGTTAAATTTTCATTTTTTTTAAGTTAATATCCATAGAATATTTTAAACGTTAGAACAAATAGACAAGGTGAATGTTAATCTCACATTAGAGTCTTTTCTATTTATCGTTGTTTAGACACTAATTCATGAGTTATACTTTGACAATTTGCACATTCACATCAACATGGTTTGTGGGGATTGAGATTGATACACTTGCTTTTAGTCTAAGTTTCATTTTTAATTTTTGTTCTAAATAACATAAAGTTAGTATGTGTTATAAAGTAATAATTGTTTCACCCGAGGCTTTACCTAGTAACCGGGTCAATCCTGCCTAATTAGCAGTGATTCTCGCGTCAAACGGTAGAGTTTTGGCATGGGGCAGGGTGGTTGGTTAGTTTCGTAGCCCTTTCAGCTCGAGTTAATAAGTCCTTAGGGGTGTTCTACACCTAGTGCCCTAAAGCCCTAGTGGTTTGGGAGTCATTGACCTAAAGCTTGCTACATGGGTTGGATCGAAAGCTTAAGTGAACTGACATTGTACGACCACTACTGTTACTAAAAAAAATATTATATATGAAAAAAAAAAAAAAAGGAAGAGAAAATCGAAAAGAAGAAAGACAAAAAAATAGTTATATTTAAAGTTAATATGTGTGAAATAAAGAAGGACGAGAGGTAAAGTTTTAGTCGAGTCTCCTTAGCTATGTTGATTCACTTTACACCAATCGAAGTTTGTGAATTCTTTTCTAATTGATTCTAAATGGCTTAGACTCTGTGGTGAGATTGGTTGGAACTTTCGAAAAGATGTTTTGATTTTTAACATGTTCTATGGATTGCAACTTTGAAGGTTGAAATTTTTGTCAGTTAGTTTTAGTTAAGTTTTTAGTTTGTTAGTTTTTATTTTTGTTTTCTAGTTTTATTTTGCTTGAGGACAAGCAAAAAGCTAAGTTTGGGTTTGATGAGCCAATTTCATATTATATATTTTACCCTATTCTTAGTATATTTTAGTTAATAATTTGGAAGAATTTTGATACTTTGAATTGCATTTCCATTATAGGGGAGCAAAACATGGGCAAATGGACGAATTTTGGAGTAATTGTAGTTGGAGGGTGTTCGTGAGTCACTTAGCTTGATCGTATCAAAATATCAGATTTTTCCACCAAGCGGTTACTTTTTGGCGATAAAATAAAGGAGCAATGTGCAATGCTGGAATAGTGACGTTTTCGGCTTAACTTGCGTTTTTGGAGCCCAAGATGACCTCGGATGGGTTCGTGGCCTTCTGGAGATATGTTCAGAACTTCTTGATCTTCAAAACAAGCTATTATGGGCCTGATTTGAAGGAGATTTGAGGCTAAAACGTTGCTTGACAGTTTTTGTGCAGTTTATCCTAACTTAATTAGGACTTTATGTTTTAATATATTTTATTATTAGTTAGCTTCCTAGTGGAAATAAGATACTTGGTTCCTAGAGTTTGTGCGGCTGGCTTTGAGAGAGATATAAAAGGTCTTAGTCAGCCCTAGTTTGGGGATATGGTTTTTTTATGCAACTTTGGAGACAGAAAGTAATGGCTAGGGTTCTTGGAGATTTTCTATTTTAAGGTGTTTTCAATCCTTTTCTTAATAATATTTTCTATGATTTCAATTATGAATATGCGTAACTAATTCATTTTGCTAGGGCGAAGCCTTGAGCCTTAGCATTAATATGTAATTTTTATTTAATTGCTTATGATTGATTGCATGTGCACTTTGAAGTACTAATCACTGTGATTAAAACTATCTAATTGTCTTAATGCCTGATCACCATTAGGATCTTTAGAAAAGTGATTTGATGCAAATTTGGTTGGAAGGTTCCCTGAAATTAGCGTTGGCTTCTTGTGATTAATAATTGTAATCTCACTTAAGATGAACACCACATCTTAAGGGTTGCATGGTTTTTCAAAGGGTTTTCATAAAGCATAATGAGTCTTTCATGTTCAGATTTGATCCAAATGTCCGGACAGGTTGCATGTTAGATATACGTTATATGTTGGAGGTTCCAAGTAGAATATAAATTAGGAAAACCTAACCTTCAAAATGGCATGTGTAGATCATAAGTAATTGCTAAAAATGCATAGGATTGCTAGGTGATGGTGGAACCCTAGTGCTTTCTTAATTTGATTTTTCTAAAACAGTTTTCTTTCCCTTTCATCTTTAATATTGCAGATTAGTTTATTTTTATTAATTAGATTTGTTTTAATTTAAGTAGGTTATAAAAGCAATCATCTCAACTTTCCGCTTTACAATAACTAATTGAAATTTCATTTGTTTCGAATTATTTAATAATCCCTATGGAGAATGACCTTGTGAGAACCGTTTATACTACAACAACCTTGTCATTCTTGCAAGTAATGTAGGAGTCTTTAACCCGTTTGCGTGTGTGGTAAAATCTCTATCATGCGCCTCTTTACCTTCAGTTGTCCTTTTGTGTTGACTTTCAAGGTTGCTTGGCGCTTCATCCTTGAAGAAACTGAGCTTCAAACGTTGTCTTTTTCTGCTAAACAATCGAGCTTTTCTTCCTTTGACGTTGTCTTCCTCTTTCTAGAAAGTTGCTTGGTTTCTTCAAGTCTTTCTAAGGCCAACCGTCGTGGATGAAAGCTAGCCATGTTGCTTTGTTTCTTAGGTTTTGACAACC